ATTCACAAGGAAGCAACCAAGGAGACACAAGAATGGGAAGAAACAAGCTCCACTCCACATACCTTTATGAATTTATGAGCTAGGAAGTGCAATTACTCCTCCAAATAACGAGCTAAACTTCAGCTCAAGCATGAATGAGCTAGCACCAAGTAAAACTCAAATTTTTTAGCTCAAAACCAAGCAGCCAAAGCCTTACCCAAGAGCAGCCAAGGCCCAAACTGAAATACAACAAACAACCCAAAGAACAAAAAGGACCCAAATGCAAGCAAACCCAAGCACATCCTACCAAGATCATTGAATAGCTTTAAAAAAACATAAAACAAAACTAATATTGTTCAAATTACATCAAAATAAAATAAACCAAAATATAAATGCATCAATTCTCCCATGGTGGGAGAATCTCATCTCCTGATGAGAAAGCTTCCACAATCTTTTTATAAGATCCGGATGACGTTTCTTCAACTCATTGGCATCCATCCAAGTACAGTCTGTCAAAGGATGATTCTTTCATTTTGCCAAAAACCTAATGTACTCGCCATGTCTAGTTATAGTAATTTTGACATCAATAACATCTTCAATCTGTTCATCATTATTTAAAACTGATGTGGAGAGTGATAAAGTTTCAATTTCCATATGATCTTCAGAATTTCCTTCATATAAAGAAATGTCAGAAACATTAAACACAGGAGAAGTGCCAATAGTAATAGGAAGATCCAAGAGATAAGCATTTGTGCCCAATTTTCGTAGAACACGAAAAGTCCCAAATTTTTTCCTGCTTAATTTTCCAAAAGTACCAACAGGAAATCGTTGGCGACGAAAGTAAGCCATAACCAAATCTCCCTCTTTGAAATAAACTTCCCTCCGATGTTTGTCAGCAGCAGATTTGTATTTAACATTAGCCATTCGGAGTTTTTCAAAGACTTGCTGTTGGACAGTTTTGATATGATCAAAAGTTTCAGAAGCTTCAGCACTAATTTTATTTGGCAAAGGCAAACAATTTCTATCTAAAATGTGAGATATAGGTTGATCTAAATGATTTCAAATAGAGTTTTACCAGTGGAGCGATTAACAGAATTATTGTATGCAAATTCAGCTTGGGCGAAATCAAATCCCATTGGGATGGATTATCTCCAGCAAGGCATCTCAATAAATTTTCTAGACTTCGATTGACAACTTCTATTTGCCCATCAGTTTATGGATGATATGCACTACTAAATTGAAGAGTAGTTCCTAATTTTGCCCAAAGTGTTATCCAAAAATAACTAAAAAATCTAGTATCTCTATTAGAAGTAAAAGTGCGAGGAATATCATGAAGATGAACAATTTCTTTAAAGAACAAGTCAGCAATATATGAAGCATCAGAAGTTTTCTTGCAAGAAATAAAATATGTCATTTTGCTAAAGCGATCCACAACCATAAAAATAGAATCAAACTTTCTAGCAGTAGCAGACAACCCCAAAACAAAATCCATAAAGATATCCTCCCAAGGTTTATTTGGAATAGGCAGAGGAGTATACAAACCAGTATTTTGAGAAGTTCTCTTAAAAGTCTGACAGATTTTACATTGTTTTATTAGCTTAGCAATTTATTTTCTAATATGAGGCCAGAAATATTTCTCCTCAACCAAAGCAATAGTTTTTCCTTGCCCAAAATGTCCACCCAAT